CACCAGACCTGGCCAATTTTTGTATTTTTAGTAGAGACGGGGTTTCACCATGTTGGCCATGCTGGTCTCGAACTCCTGACCTCAGGTGATCTGCCCACCTTGGCCTCCTAAAGTGCTGCACTGAGATTACAGCTATGAGCCACCACACCCGGCCTAAAGTCATTTTAAAGATTATTTTTTAAATTTATAAGTAGTTTCCTTTTGTTTATCTTTTTATTGAGTTAATTTTACACATTGTAGTCACATATTGTGGCCTCTAAGAGCTCTGTTCTTTGAACTGTTCCTATGGCATAATAAATAATTTATCTAAATGTAGATGTTCCAGATTCATCTGAAAAGGTGTTTTCTTTGTTAAGACACAAAGTTATTTATACATACACACACACTCTATATAGATAAAATACAAAAATTAGCTGGGTGTGGTGGCGCACACCTGTAATCCCAGCTACTCAGGATGCTGAGGTTGCAGTGAGCCGAGATGGCACCACTGCACTCTAGCCTGGGCGAGAGAGTCAGACTCCATCTCAAAAAAAAAAAAAAATCTAGTTTTATTCATTTCATAGTGTTTGGAATACAACAAAGTATTAACTACAGTTTCCCTATTGCACTATAAAATACTAGAACTTATTCTTTGTACCTGACTGTATTTTTGTACCCATTAACCGACTTCTCTTCATCCTAGAGTCTTTCTGGGGTTTTTGTGTGTGTGCCAAATGGTGGGAGCTAGAGCCTTTTTAAATAGGAGGATTTAAACCACTTACTTTTCTCATGATTGAGTTTTCATTTTGTTCCTACCGTTTTATTTTATATTTCTATCATTTGCTTTCTTATGACTCCCTTTCTTCCCCTTTTTACCCTATATTTTGCTGAAATTATCCAGATTTCTTTGCTGCTTTTTCCTCTCTGCTAGTTATGAAAATTACATGTACTATTTGTGGCTCCCTACATTTTAAAATACATATTTAGATTTATACTTCTGTAACAACTTTTTAAATTAAGTAGTTATAACTTTTCAAAATAAAACTATTAGCACAACTTAACCTTCTTCTCCCCATTCATCTTCCATGCTTTGCTGACATAATCTGAAGCCTTAATCTAGATTACTGTGGGGGATTTTAATTAGTGGAATGATTACGTACCTATATAGAGAGAAAGAAGTGTACTTATGTGTCTAAAAATGTCTTTTTCCTTCTTTCTTTCTTTTTTTTCTATACAAATGAAAGATAGTTTGGCTGGATATACAGTTCTAGCATCACAGTTCTTTTCCATCAGACCTGTATAGATGTTGCTCCATTGTATATTTTTTAATTAAAATTTTTATTTTGAGATAACTGTAGACTCACATACAGCTATAATAAACAGTACAGAAAGATCCTATGTACTCTTTTCACAATTTCCTGTAATGATAACATCTTGTAAAACTATAGTTTAATATCATAACCAGGATATTAATTTTGATACAGTCAACATACAGAAGGTTTCCATCACATCAGGGATTTCTTACAGTACATCAAGATAAGTGTACTTATACAGTATGTAACCTTTTGGGATTGGCTTTTTCATTCACCATAATTATCTGGAAAGTGATTCTGATTATTGCATCTATCCGTAGTTTGTTTCTTTTTTTTGCTGAGTGGCATTTGATGATGTGCATACCCAAGTTTGTTTAATCATTCACCCATTGAATGATATTTGGGTTGTTTCTAATTTTAGACCATTACAGATAGAGCTGCTATGAACATTTGTGTTGAGGTTTGTATGTGAACATAGGTCTTCACTTTCCTGGAATAAATACCCAGGAGTGCAACTGCTGAGTTGTATGGCAGTTGCATGTTTAATTTTACAAGAAACTGATAAACTATTTTCCAGGGTGGCTATACCATATTATATTACCACCACCAAGATAAAATGCTCTAGTTTCTCTGCATTCTTGCCAGCATTTGGTGGTGTTACAACTTTTTACTTTAGCCATTCTGATAGGTATAATTTAGTAATTTCTCATTGTGGCTTTACATTCTATTTCCCGAATAGCTAATGATTTTGAACATATGTTTGTGTACTTATTTACCATCTGTATATTCCTTTTGGTGAAATATCTCTTTTGCCCATTTTCTAATTGAATTGTTTCCTAGGGCTGCCTTAACAAAGTGCCATAAACTGGGTGGGTTAAAACAACAGAAAACCTATTGTCTCACAATTCTGGGATTTAGAAGTCTGAAATCAAGATGTTGGTGGCCGGGCACAGTGGCTCACACCTGTGATCCCAACACTTTGGGAAGCCAAGGTGGGCAGATCACTTGAGTCTAGAAGTTCAAGACCAGCCTGACCAACATGGTGAAACCCCATCTTTACTAAAAATACAAAAATTAACAGAGCATAGTAGTGCGCTCCTGTAGTCCTAGCTACTAGGGAGGCTGAGGCAGGAGAATCACTTGCAAAAAATAAATAAATAAATAAATAAATAAATAGCAAGGTTGTTCTGTCTGAGGGCTCTGAGAAAGGATTTGTTCATGCCTTTCTTCAAACTGCTGATGACAGCCAGCAATCCTTCAGTCTCTGCTTCTTATAATATCACACAGCATTCTCTCCTCCTATATCTCTCTGTCTCTTTTCCTCTTCTTATAAAGACACCAATCATATTGGATTATTCTAGTGTAACTTTAACTTCTTAATTACATCTTCAACACCCCTATTTTCAAATAAAGTCACATTCAAAGGTACTGGGAGTTACACCTTCACCATATCTTTTCGAGAACACAATTCAATCCATAATTGGTTGGTTTTTTACTATTGAGTTTTGTGTTTAGATATTAGCCCTTTGTCAGGTGTATGGTTTGCAAATATATTTTTCCTGGTCTTTTGCTTCTTTCTTCATCCTCTTGACAGAGTCTTTCAAGGCAAAAAAAAATTTTCATTTCAATGAAGTCCAATGTATCCATTTTTCCTTTCATATTCTTTGCTTTTGGTGTCAAGTCTGGAACTTTTTGCCTAATCCTAGATTCCAAATATCTTCTCTTAGGTTTTTTGTAACTATATCATTGTTTTGCATTTTAAGTTTAAGTTCAGGATCTATTTTGAGTTGTTTTTTGTGTGTGAGGTTAAGATCAAGATTCAGTTTTTTTTGCCTATGGATGTCCCATTGTTCCAGCACTAATTGTTGAAAGGACTATGTAGTCTCTCTATTGAGAAAGGATTGCACATTTCTCAAAAATCATTTGGGCTTATTTGTGTAGGTCTATTTCTGGGTTCTTCATTTTGTTCCATTGACCCATGTGTCTGTCCTTTTGCCAAAACCAATCAGTGTCTTTATTAGGCTACGAGTCCTTATATTGAATAGACTGATTCCACTCCCTTTAGTCTTCTTTTTTCAAAATTGCTTTAGCTATTTTATTTCCTTGTCTTTCTTTCTGTCTACATTTGTTAAACTTGTCTATGTCTACAAGAAAAATTGCTGGGATTTTGATAGGAATTATGTTAAACCTATATATCAATTTGGAGAGAATATCTTTCCTATGCTGAGTCTTCAGATCCATGAACACAGTATGTCTCTGCATTTATTTAGATCTTGCTTGACTCCTTTAATCAGCGTTTTGTCATTTTTAGCGTATAAGTCCTGTACATATCTAATGTCTTATTAAATTTAATTCCTTGTATTTCTTTTTTTGAACAATGGTAAATGTCATTGTATTTATAATTTCAGTGTTCATATGTTCATTGCTAATTTATAAAAATACAGTTGATTTTTATATGTGTATCTGGTATCCTGCAACCTTGCTGAACTCATTTATTAGTTTTAGAAATTTTTTTGAAGACTCTTTGGGATTTTGTTGTTGTAGATGTTGATGTTGGCAAATAGGCGCGGTTTAATTTCTTCCTTTCTGATGTGTATGCCTTTTATTCCCTTTTCTACCTTATTGCACTGGCTAGAACTTCCAGCACTATGTTGAATAAGAGTGGTGAGAGCAGATATCCTGCCTTGTTCCCGGTCTTAGGGGGGTAAGTATTCAGTCTTTCACAATTAAGAATAATATTAGCTGTACAGTTTTTGTTGTTATTGTTTGGTTGGTTTTTGCTGGTTTGTTTTTTGTAGATGGTTTTTAACATGTTGAAGAAGTTCTCTTCCATTTCTATTTCTGGGAGTTTTTTAATTTCTGTTTGCTGATGTTTGTGAAATGTGTTTTTTTTTAATCAGTTAATATGACCATGTGATTTTTCTTCTTTAGCCATTTAATATGGGTAGATTACTTTGAGTTTTTTTTTTTTTTTTAATATTAAGCCAGCCCTGAATCTCTTGAATAAACCTTACTTGGTCATGGTGTTGTAAAACTATTTACATATTGCCAAATTCTACTTGCTAATATTTTGTTAAGAATTTTTGTGTCTGTATTTGCCAGATACTGTCTTTATCTGGTTTTGATATCAAGATCACATTGGCTTCAAAAAATGCTTTGAGAAATGTTCCCTCCCATTCTCTGCAAAAGATTGTCAAGGATTTGTGCTCATTCTTTTTTTTTTTTTTTTTTTTGAGACGGAGTCTCGCTCTGTGGCCCAGGCTGGAGTGCAGTGGCTGGATCTCAGCTCACTGCAAGCTCCGCCTCCCGGGTTCACGCCATTCTCCTGCCTCAGCCTCCTGAGTAGCTGGGGCTACAGGCGCCCGCCACCTCGCCCGGCTAGTTTTTTGTATTTTTTTAGTAGAGACGGGGTTTCACCGGGTTAGCCAGGATGGTCTCGATCTCCTGACCTCGTGATCTGCCCGTCTCGGCCTCCCAAAGTGCTGGGATTACAGACTTGAGCCACCGCGCCCGGCCTTGTGCTCATTCTTATTTCAACTTTTGGTAGAATTCTCTGGTAAAAGCATCTTGGCCTGGAGCTTTCTTTTCTGTGAATTTTTAAATGACTAATTCAGTTTCTTTGATAGTTATAAAACTGTTCACATTATCTATCTTATATCGGGTGAGTTTTTGTAGTTTGTGTTTTTTGAGGAATTGGTCTGTTTTATTTATATTACTAAATTTATGTCTGTATATGTGTGTATACCCTTCTTATCCTTTTGATGTCTGCAGTGTCTATAGTGATCTCTCCTATTTAATTGTTGATATAGGTAATTTGTGTCTTCTTTGTCATTCTTCCTAGAGATTTGTCAGTGTTACTGATCATTTCAAAGAACAGACTCAGATTTTTGTTTCATTGATTTTTCTCTGTTGTTTTCCTGTTTCTCAATTTAATTGGTTTCTGTTATTTACTATTTCTTTTTTCCTGATTAACTTGCCCTTTTTCTAGGTTCTTGATGTAGGAGTTTAGATTATTGATTTGAGATTTTCTTATTTTCTTATGTGTGCATTTAGTGCTATGAATTACCCACTCAGCACTGCTTTACCTATGTCTCTCAAATTTTGATGTGTTGTATTTTCATTTTCTTTTTTTTTATTTTGAGACGGAGTTTTGTGCATGTCACCCAGGCTGGAGTGCCATGGCATGATCTCAGCTCACTGCAACCTCCACCTCCAGTGTTCAATCAATTCCTCTGCCTCAGCCTTCCAAGTAGCTGGGATTACAGGCACCTGCCACCACACCTAGCTAATTTTTGTGTTTTTAGTAGAGACGGGGTTTCACCATGTTGGCTAGGCTGGTCTCAAACTCCTGACCTCAGGTGAACCACCCACCTCGACCTCCCAAAGTGCTGGGATTACAGGTGTAAGCCATTGTGCCAGCCCCCCGCCCCCCCCCCTTTTTTTTTTAAACTGAGACGGAGTCTTGCTCTGTTGTCCAGGTTGGAGTACAGCAGTGCAATGTCGGCTCACTGCAATCTCCACCGCCAGGGTTCAAGCGATCCTCATGCCTCAGCCTCCTGAGTAACTGGAACTACAGGTGCGTGCCACCATGCCCGGCTAATTTTTTTGTATTTTTAGTAGAGATGGGGTTTCACCATGTTGGCCAGTCTGGTCTTTTTTTTTTTTTTTTTTTTGAGACGGAGTCTTGCTCTGTTGCCCAGGCTGGAGTGCAGTGGCCGGATCTCAGCTCACTGCAAGCTCCGCCTCCCGGGTTTACGCCATTCTCCTGCCTCAGCCTCCCGAGTAGCTGAGACTACAGGCGCCCACCACCTCGCCCGGCTAGTTTTTTGTATTTTTTAGTAGAGACGGGGTTTCACTGTGTTAGCCAGGATGGTCTCGATCTCCTGACCTCGTGATCCGCCCGTCTCGGCCTCCCAAAGTGCTGGGATTACAGGCTTGAGCCACCGCGCCCGGCCTTAAAATTTCTTTTAAGACCTCTTTTTAACTTATAGATTAGTTAAAAGTGTGTTGATTAGTTTCTAAGTGTTTGAATATTTTCTTGCTACCTTTCTGTTATAAATGTCTAGTTTGATTCAACTATGTCCAGTTACACACTCTATATGACTTTGATTTTTGAAAGTTTGTTTGAGATTTGTTTTATGACCAGGGATGTGGTCTGTCCTGGTGTAGGTGCCATGGGTATTTGAAAATAATGTATATTTTGCTGTTGCTCGGTAGAGTGCTCTATAAATTTTGATTAGATCCTGTTGTCTAATTGTGTTTTTGAATTTTTCTTTATCCTTGCTGGTTTTCTAGTTGTTTCATCAGTTGTTGAGAGATGGTTTTGAAGTCTTTGAGTATAATTATAGATTTGTTTATATCTCCTTTCAGTTCAGTCAGTTTTTACTTCACAAGTTTTGCAGCTCTGTTGTTTTGTGCATGCACATTTAGGATTGCTATGTATTTTTCATGGGTTGACCATTTTATCATTATGTAATGTTTCTTTCTCTCTCTGGTAATTTTATTTGCTCTGAAGTCTGCTTTGATGTTTATATAGCCACTCCTGCTTTCTTTTGATTAATGCTTGCATTACATATCTTTTTCTGTCCTTTTCAATGTGCATGTATCATTATTTTTAAAGTGAGTTTCATGTAGACAGCATATTATTGGGTGATGTTTTTTAATTCATTCTGTCAATCTCTGTGTTTTAATTGGCGTATTTAAACCATTTATACTTAAGCTTGCCATTTTAAACTTTGTTTTCTGTTTGTTTTCATTGTTTTTTATTTCTGTTACTTGAATAATTTTTTGAAGTTCTTTTTGATTTTTTGTAGTGTTTCGAGTGTATGTCTTTGTATAGTTTTCTTACTGAATGCTGTAGGCATTATATTATATATGCAGTCTACTAGTATACTTTACCAGTTCAGGCTAGAAATCTTACCTCTTTTTATGTCCCTTTATCCTCCCTTATTTTTAATATGCTCATCTTAAATATTTCCTCTGAATACATTTAGAACCGGGTTGGAGAATTATAAGTTTTCTTCAACCATTGAATGTGATTTAGAAAACTCAAGAGAAGGAAGTTTATGGTATTTACCCTTATATTTGTTTACCATGTTGTTTCTTCCTTCTTGATGTTCCAAGGTTCCTTTTCTTATTTCCTTTCTGTTAAGACAGCTTCCTTTAGTCACTCTTTAAGAGTAGATCTGCTAGCAACAAATTCCCTTTGTTTTCCTTCATGCAAGGCTGTCTTGATTTCCTGTTTCATTCCTGAAGGGTATTTTTGCTGGATGTAGGATTTTGGGTTGATGGCTCTTTTCTTTCAGCACTTGAAAAATGTGTTCCTTCCTTTTGGCCTCCATTGTTTCTGATGAGAAATCTCTGCTTTCATGTTATTTCCCCCAATGGTATCTCCTTAGTTGCTTTCAAGATTTTTATTGTTCTTTTAACTCAATTACCTCTGCAAAGAAAAAAAAAGATTTTATTGTTCTTGTTGTTAGTTTTCAGAAGTTTGACTATGATGTGTCTTGTTGTAGATTTCTTTGGGTTTATTCTCTTTGGAGTTTGTTCAGCTTCTTAAATCTGTACATTTATGTACAGATTCCTCAGGTTTCCGAGTAGCTGGGATTACAGGTGCCCACCACCATGCCTGGATAATTTTTGTATTTTTAGTAGAGACAGAGTTTCACCATGTTTGCCAGGCTGGTCTCAAACTCCTGACCTCAAGTGATCCACACACGTTGGCCTCCCAAAGTGCTGGGATTACAGGCATGAGCCACCGTGCCCAGCCCTGGTTCACTTATGCTTTCCCCTTTCTTCTCCGTTCTGCTGTTGGGCCCATCGCTTAGTTTTAGTTTTTTTATTTCAATTGTTGTGTTTTTCAGTTCTATAATTTCTATTGTGTTCCTCTTTATATCTTCTGTTTCTTTGCTGAGATTTTCAGTGTTTTCACTTGTTTCAAGCATGTTCATAAATGCTTGCTTAAACATTTTGATGATGGCTGCTTTAAAATCTTCATCAGATAATTTTAACATTTTTGTCATTGGCATTAACATCTGTTAATTGTCATTTCTCATTTGATTTATGATCTTCCTAGTGTTGATATGATGAGTAATTTTTAGTTGGAACCTGGACATTTTGTGTATTATGTTATGAGACTCTGGATTTTATTTAAACCTTCTGTGTTAACTGGCTTCCTCTGACACCAGTGGGTGTCAGTGAAACGGTGGGTTGTAATGCTGCTTCATTAATGCCAGGTAAAGGTAGAAGTCCAGGTTCCCTACTCAGCCTCTATTGACATGGGGGGCAAGGACAGGGCAGGAATGGAGTTCCAGCTCTCAACTAGGCTTTCACTGATACCTCTTTGGCTGGGACAGGTAGGAGTGCTTGTTGCCAGTTGGTGGTGGTAAAATCCTGATTCTTCACTAGATCCTCCTCTGTCATCACCCCAGTGAGGACACTTTGTTACTGCTGGATAGGGGTAGAAGTCAGGGTCCACATGTAGTCTCCACTGATATCACTGAGGTGGAGCCTCATTTTCACCATGTTGGGTAAAAATTCCAGCTGGCCAACATGGTGAAACTCGGTCTCTACTAAAAATATAAAAATTAGCTGAGCGTGGGGGTGGGCACCTGTAGTCCCAGCTACTAGGGAGGCTGAGGCAGGAGAATCGCTTGAACCCGGGAGGTGGAGGTTGCAGTGAGCCGAGATCACACCACTGCACTC